TCATAGAAACACCTTAGTAGAAAATCGCTTCCTGTCTCGTAAATTGCGACCAAAGTCAAAAAAATTGAATTTTTAGGTGTAAATTTCCGTGGGTCCCGTTTTTATTACGGAAATTTATGCACCGAAAAATTTCCTGATGTAATCATTACATGTTATACATAGTCCTCCTAAATCCTCTCTATATTTGAATCGGCTGTTTTGCAAGCGAGACATAAAAGAAGTACACTTCATTCCATTAGGATAAGTAGCAGAAAATTTTTTCCAAAGGATACTTTTTTGATTTTTTAAATAAAGCACTGGTAATTGAGTTTTTGCATCTACTTTATAAGAACTCATATTTACATTTGCTTTGTCTGTAAAAAAGAGTTCAAATTCTTTTACTTTAACTTCTGACATTTTTGAACGAGTAATAATTGGTTTTTCTAATATAGGACATCCAGGTCCATTAATTTGGGAAAATTTTCGTGCTGTGTTAATTGTATTAGGCGAAACCTGAATAATACAATGTAAATATGTAAGTAATATAATTGTTATATATGTTTATGTGAAAAATATGAAACTTCGTATTACCTCTAATTTTTCAATTATTTTTTTATATGTAAAATCTTCTCCAATTATTGATAACATACGTATCTTTCCATTTATTCCTTTAGGATTTGCATCATAACTATTACGAAAGCAATTCCAAAATACACAAGAGGTATCAACTGATTTGTTTAATGAGTCTTGTAAAGATATTTTTAAAAATCCTTTCATATATAAATTGGTAATTATTTCACAATCTTTTTTAGAATTAGTTGCATTTGTCCAAAATTCATCATAAGAAATGTCATTTTTATATGGAGTAATATTTGTACATCCCAACGTATGAAACATTGCACGCCACAATCATAATTCTTTTTTAGAAATTTCATAATTCAAATCATATACTTTACCAAGATGAGTATGCAATTCAATTATATTGCTTTTTTGTTGTATCCAATTTTGAAACACTTGATACCATTGAACTGATCTTCTAATTGTTCTTTTTAAATGTAACTCGTATAATTGTTTCATTATTGTTTCGTTATTCCAATCTGCAAGTGTATATTTAAAAATAGGTGGTTGATGTAAAAATATTTAATTTATTCTATTTAAAGTTATGGGATGATTTATAACAAATAAAGTTTCACCTGAAATAGATTTCAAAATATGAGTTTTATTCCAAACAGTATTAGGTGAAATATCTTTATATTCAATAACAATTTGACTGTTTTGATAAATTGTTATTAAAAATAAATCTTTGTCAATATGTTGATAAAAAACAGACTGTATTCTTTTGTATTTATAAAATAATGATGCTGCATAATTATGACTAGTTTTTTTATTTGATTTTGTAATTTTGCCAAGACAACTAATAAAAACAGTTATGTTTTCTAACTCTACAATAAAAGGAT